GAGGAGGCTGGCCACAAGCGCTCGCTCCTCGCAGTCGCAGCCATGGTATCGAGGAGGGCCCCGGCGGTTCTGCAGCCGTGGCCCGTGGCGGCCGCCGGCGTCGGGGGTCCTCGGGCCGGGGCTTCTTCGACCCGTGCCAGGAACCGAGGAGGAGCTGGGATGCGTCACGCCTGCGTGTACATGATTTCAGGATCTCTAGTTCTCTACCCCGTACCGAAGGAGCAATGGTCGCTCCGTCAAATCGTCAATGGTGACTGACTATGCATAACTTGTGTTCTCAGTGCGCAGTCGTGAATTGCGGTTGTGTGGAAAGATGGCAAGACGCGCGCGTGATGTTCAGCAGAGAAAGCAAAGCAGATGCAGAGCACATGCTGACATGACAAAGGAAAGGATCCATTCACAATTTCTTCTCGGAAAGATGAATAATCAGTTCAGAGCTCACAATTTGGGACCGAATCAGAATCACAGGCGCAGCAGATCGAGCAGGGCAAGTGCTGTTGTCTCCGTGCCGGCCGGATGCTGCTTCGTTCCTTCTCCCCGACGCACGTCAGAAGCTCGGATGGCTGTCATCCTACGGCAGTGCACCCCACCGCAGGGCACGGCACGTCATTCTGAGTCAGATGCCCGATGGCAAGGCTCCGTGCGATGCGATCGCAAAATGGCGACACAACACAATTCACAGCGCGTGCGGTGCGAGCCAGCCCAGCATGAACTGCATGAACTGAGAGACGGGGAGGAGTTGAACAAAACTTGGGCTCGTACGCGCCGCCGCGTCTTCAGTCAGTCTGTCCAAACGATGACCCGGCCACTGGTACAAAAGGAAGAAGCCTTCGCCTTTCACCAGCAGCCATATATCAACTCTTGTGCTCGCTTTGTCCCCCTCCGCGCGCGGAAGGTCGTTCGAATTCACTTGGCCGACCGACGATATTCCACGCTGACAAAGCTGGGCTTGGGCGCCCTAACCTTCAACTCGGCGCTCGCCGTCTACAACTCCTGGGGCGACGCCAGCTCCGTGGGATTATTCGTGCTGCTCGCGGACACCGCGCTCGGGCTCCTCTTCCTCTGCCTCTGCCTCTGCCTCCGTGACTTCGAGCAGACCGGCAGAGGCAGGGACACCAAGACCAAGGCCGCGGTGTGACTTCGACCATCCACGCCACCACCTAGCTATTCCTGTTGCCGCCCCCTGTCCAACCTGGCCATCTCATCCCGCCGCCTCCCCTTGCTCACGTCCAGATATCCCTGCTGCCATCAACTCACCACTGCACCACCCCTCGGCCCTCAGCCATCCCCTGCAGCTTTTGAAAAAGCAAGTTTAGGTCCGCCTGTTTGATTGGCTTTCTTATTTTTGGCAGCAGAAACACACTTTTTAAAAAGCTAAGCTGAACCAAAAATAGACACGGTCACTTAGGGGTGTCGAGGGTGTTTGGTTTTCCTCCTAAATCTGTCCCATCGGATATTTGACAAATGCATGGAGTATTAAATATAGACTAATTACGAAACTAATTGCATAATTTGCGACTAATTTATGAGATGAATCTTTTAAGCCTAATTAGTTCATGGTTTGACAATATAGTGCAACAGTAAATATGTGCTAATGATGGATTAATTAGGCTTAATAAATTCGCCTCGTGGAGATACTTGACGGATTCTGTAATTTGTTTTTTATTAGTATTCGAACACCCCATGTGACACCCCTCACGTGACACCTCCTAAATTTTAGTCACGGATCCAAACACCCCTTAGAGGTTCTCATAGGGTAGGTACTTGGGGTGACTTCATCGATCTCTAAATTTACTGCTCTAACTCAGTTTTTGAGGTGTTTAAAGGATATGATATGATATTTACCGGTCCTAACATAGTCTCCAGGAGATTCTCATAATGTAGAGAAAGAGTATGCATGCGTGTTTGTAGCGTCTGTACTAAGTTTGGAAAAAGAGTCCTACAGAGTTTGGATTCTTGTAGATGTTGAACGGTAACGAAGTGAAATGAAATATTGGTGGTGTCTAAAGCCTTAATAGTTTTCAGGTTGGTTCATGCTTGCTTTTTTGCCTTCTTTGTTTTTTTTTAAAAAAAAAAAAACGAGCTGATGGCCTAGTCGGCGTGGCCACCTCCGCCGGGAGGGCTTCTTTCGGCCATCATCCGTGGTGCACTACAATCTTGTTGGCTCGTTTTAGACTTCCCTGAGTGCTGACGACTTGTGTTGCGTGGGAAGATCAATTTCTCCGTGGCGGCAGCATGAAGCGTAAAAAGCGGAGCAACGAAGGCCTGGTGGTAGCTTGAAGTGCGTGGCCCAAAGCCACGGCACCAACTTGTGTAGCAGCAGGGCCCGTGTCGCCGTCCGGCACCCGGCCGGATGTACTCCACTCCACTCCACTCCACCTATATATACTTCCGTGGGGTTCCTCCAGCTAATCCGGAATGTCCGTGCTCATCAGGGATCATGGCAATCGCGAGCAACACTGGCTGTGGCTCCACAGTTGGTGCGCAGCACGGCAGCCAGCACCCACCCGCATAGTGGAAGCCCCGTCGCTACGTAAGGACCCATGTGGCAGCTGCCTGTGAGATAGCGTGACCACGTCAGAGCGCCTGCCATGCCGCGCCAACGGCGAGGAGCTCTCGTGCAGGGCAGCACGATCCGACTTGATCTCCGCTACCAAATATAAAAATCGTCAGCGTACGTGGTGTCGATTGCGCAAATGTGCGTGTAAACATGTCATCAACTTTGTTTTCTTTACTGCGCCCAACATCAGATCACGTCCATACCCGCGAACCAGGCATATAAACTCAGGTTTCTGCTCGGCGGTTCAGCACAATCGGTTCTGCTCCTATCCCTGATCTCGCCACCTGACCAAGCTAGGCTTGGGCGCCCTGACCTTCAACACGGCACTCGCCATCGACAACTCCTGGGGCGACGCTGGCTCCGTGGCGTTCGTGCTCGCTGCGGACGCCGCGCTCGTGCTGCTCTTCTTCCTCTGCTTCCGTGAGTTTGAGCGGGGCGGCAGGGGCAGGGATGCCAAGATCAAGGCCGCCGTTCGCGACCATGTTCGCCTCGAGGGTGGCGCCGCTCATGCCGCCGCCGGTGCCCGCGGTGGTCTGGCTCTTGCCGTCGCCACGGCCGCAGGAGGGTTCTGGGCGTTTTTTCTTAATGCCCGTACGTCGCAACGGAACCCATAATACCAGGATAATATGGAGTATGCCGAAGCACTGAGGTTTTCTTTACCCACATCGTTCGCAAGTGTGTATAAACATATCAACTTCTTTACTGCGCCTGCGGGCCACTTCACCCAGAATCCTCTATAAAAAGGCACCCGCTGCCATTCCTTCGCCGCACATCCTGCAGAACAGTTAGCCAACGATATTCCACCGCACTCTTGTGCTCTCTTTGTCTCCCTCCGCGCGCAGAAGATCGTTCGTCTTGACATGGCCGAGGCCGACCAAGGATATTCCACCCTGACCAAGCTAAGCTTGGGCGCCCTGACCTTCAACTCGGCACTAGCCATCTACAACTCCTGGGCGACGCCGGCTCCGTGGCGTTCGTGCTCGCCGCGGACGCCGCGTTCGTGCTGCTCTTCCTCTGCCTCCGTGAGTTTGAGCGGGGCGGCAGGGGCAGGGATGCCAAGATCAAGGCCGCCGTGTGGGCGCTCACCACGCTGCTGACGGCCATGTTCGCCTCGAGGGTGGCGCCGCTCATGCCGCCGCCGGTGGCCGCGGTGGTCTGGCTCTTGCCGTCGCCACGGCCGCAGGAGGGTTCTGGGCGTTTTTCCTTAATTGATGCTTTTGCGAGTCGATCAGTCTGCGTCTCGCTGGCGGGCGTGTTCATTTCCTTTTTCGCTTCCTGCACTTTCTTGTACTGTTTCCCAGTTCGTCACTTTGAATAAAGATGGCCGATAAGCCGGCTAAAGCTGATTTGTTATACGAGAAAAATACTGTAGATTCTAACCGATAAGCCGGGCTGATAAGTTCAAGCAAATGCTAAAAAATCTGCCTTCGAGTTTGCGCTTGCTGGCAGAGAGTGGTCCTCTGCTTCTACCCCGCTGACCACCGCTCAGAGTCGCCTCAGCGTGCTTGATTTGAGACAGGGTAGGACGGAACGGTCTTGTCCCTGATTTTTAGGTGGACAAACCTGTTCTGGGGCGTTTGGTTGAGATATCTTTGGTTTATTCGGTAGAATATGGCGTGATTTATGGTGCCGAGCCTTGGTCATGTTAACGCCACGTCGAGACCACGTAATTCGTAGCCTCCAACCTCATGACGTCGAGACGTGTTACCCCGGTGATGTAGGGCATGGCGTTGAGAAAAAAGATCCAAATTGAATTTACGTCGTCCCAGTGGTGTAAACGTGAATTTTGACCCAAAAAAGCCAAATTGCAACAACAAAAATCGGCCGAATAGAGGGGTATATTCCACTCGAAAATGGTCGCATCCCTAACAGTCCTCAAACATCTTAAAAATAGGATCAATTCATTCCATCGCCCTCTATTCGGTCCATCTCTAGAACCAAACACATACTAAACGCTGTTCATAGAATGAACCAAATCATATCATATGGCCATATGGGAGTTGAGCTAGAATTGCGGTCGGCTTGATATGAATAGGTACGCGGTTGGTGGACGTGGCGGCGACGTGGCGCCGCTTGATCAGTCGGCTGGCTGTGCCTTTGCACACGTATGGGGCTTTGAATTTGAACACTGCTGCGTTTTACGATATAAACGTATGTTAGCGCCAAGGCACACGTTGCGTGTGTGCATCCATTGGATCAGCATCTAGTTGTTATCATAGGTAGTTTTCAAGTTTGTATAGGTTGGTTGGTTTACACACGATACGTTGCTTCGAATTAAAGGAAAAAAACTGGGTTCTTTGCCTTCCAATACAAGCAAAGTGGTAGGTAGCGTGCGTGTTCCCGTGATCCCGTCTCTCTCTCGTCACGCTTTCATTCACGACCTTCACACGAGTCACGAGCAGACAATCTTGTACACCTGCGTGCAAGCTGTCGTCTTAGAATGGAGGACCAGAGGCAGAGAGTCGCCGGCGTGGACGCCGCAGGCGGCGGCCTCGGCGGCGCGGGAGCCGTCCTCCGCACCGCCACCACCTGCGCCGCAGCCACGTACAGGGCGGCGGCGGCAGGGGACGTCGCCTCCGTAGCGTTCGTGATCGTCAGCTACGGCGCTCTCCTGCTAATGCTCCGCTTCCTTCGCGCCTACGAGGTCTTCGCCGGAGGCGCTGTCCGTAGGGAAGGGCTCAGGCGCAGGGTCTGGGCGCTCTGCACGCTGCTCACCGCCATGTTCGCCTGGAAGGTTGCCGGCGTGATGACGTGGCCCGTCGCGCTGGGCGTCTGGGCCGCGGCGGCCGTGACGTCTGCGGCTGGCTTCTGTTCTCATGTTTCGTCAGCGTCGACTCTGATGAGCACTGAATCTCAGATTCCGTGTTTGGAAAATATTTCAGGCACGTACACTATGCAGTGATCATTTGAGCGCAAACACATATACACGACCCTATTGATCACGACCATTTTCATTTTGATCGTTCTCACTCAGTTTCATTCGTATGAAACTGAATATCGTACTAGTTTGCTTTGGATACTAATTCGGATCTTTCTTTCAAAAAAAGAAGGGGAAAAAAACGAATGGGTTGCAGGGTATTTGGTACGGCGCGGCATCGATGGATGTGTAACCTTTAAGCTCCAAGCCTCCAACAATAATTAGGGAGTGTTTAGATGCTTTTGGAATGGTAAAATCTTTGGTCCTAATTTTTTGCTGTAAAACTTTTGTCATTCAAACTTTTGGTATTTGGTGTTTAGATGCATGGCAAAACTTTAGCCATGCAGACATAGCACGCGCTCTCCAGACGTTTTTTTGCCTAGTTTTAGGTCTCTTGGATCACAAATGTCAAAAGTTTTGCAACCCAAATTTTGTTGTTTTTGCCTATGGTGTTTAGATTCATTTTACCAAAAAATAAGATAAAACAGTAAAAGTTTTGATCAAAATGGGGAACTAAACAGGCTCTCTCAAACTTTGTGGTGGTGTGCTAGTGCTATACTCCTTGACAATTATTTTACTTTTGGCAGGTTACCAAGCACGATGTTGTGAGGATATGATTGAAGGTTTTCCCCTGTGCTGATTGGTCAAGGACATGGTTTGCTAGCTAGTTCACACAGTCAGGATACAGATGTGCAAATATGGCGTGTATTGATATATATTGTGCTTTGGATGTAATACTGAAGATGAGGTACCACGTACACCACTTGTATTGTGCGGGTTCGCTTGTATATTTGCATATGCATTGCTCCTTTATATTGTGAAAAATTCGCTTACTATCTGCGTCGCTCCTATTTTGAATTTTGATGCTTCTAGCCTTGGAATATAAAACACTTCAACTAGCAGGTCATGTTTGAAAAAAAAAACTGAACTTCTTTCCAGCGGTGGAAAGTGGATATAAAACACTTCACATGAGCCAGCAATATATTAAGAATGAAAGTGGATCGGGTCAATTGATTTGGTAGTTGATCCCATTCAAAATAACAAGTTCCATATTCGCTTGGCTGATAAGCCATGGCTGAAAATACTGTTGGCTGATTTGTTGCGAGAGAAAAATATTATTCATTGACTGAAAAAATACGGCTTATAATCCAAGCGAATAGGACGAAGACCTCTGAGTCACGGTAGCCAGCCTCATCAAAGTTCAAAATCGCTGTGCGCCATACATGACATTTGAAGCGGCATTAGGTTGGAGTAAACTGCCTTGAACCCCATCTAAGGAAGAAAAACAACTGATTTTGATAATTGGAAGAGCTAAGACAGCCGGTTTTCTAGTTTAACGAGGTAAATGGAGCTAGATAGTTAAGAATGTCAGGAGGAAAATTTTCTTTATTTATTATCTCTGACGGTGTGACGGTGAGTCGGTGGCCCTCCTCTACCTCCACAGTGGGACCTGTGGGCTGTGGCGTATGCGCGTGGAGGCCCAAAGGTTCCAGCTGGATTCATCATTGTGTGCGACGCGAATTTTAACAGATGGCCCAGAGCTTTCGGTGGAGGGGTGGACTGGCCCAGTGAGGGAAATGATATATGTCCATAAGTCGCGTGCCTCCAATGGACCGCATAAACAAACGTCGGACGGCTTTTTCACTCCGCCGCTTGCTCCCACCCGCATGTATATTTTTTATAAAAAAACTTATCCTTCGCTTCCTCCTCCCTATCCTTACCCCTTCCGTGCTCCTCATCACCGCCACACACAAGACTAACGCCTGGGCTTGTCCTTCCCCACCCCTGCGCCCTCACCGGAGCCCTCAATGCTCATGAATCCGACGACCCTATCCCCCACCTCGGCGAGATCCATGGAGCACGAAGCGAGATCCACGCCCACCAGCGAGATCCATGGAGGTGGCGCGCGGTGTTGCAGGTGGGAGTGGGCGGCTCTCCCTTACCCGTAGCAGGTGTCCTCGCTACCCCGGCAACCGAGCTTCCCCACCCAGCGCCATGGCGCTCCCGCCCCATCCCCCACACGCCGCCGCCGAGCCAAGCCCGGTGCCGGTGGCGCAGTGGTGGTGGTGGTGGTGGTGCTTTGCAGCGTCATTGGTGCTAATCTTGGTGTCTGCTCCAGCAGCCGCCGCTGCCGCCCCCACCCCTGGCCGACCGGAATCGACCGCCCGAGCTTCTCCCCTATGTTACAAATGTATGTTTCAATTATTTCAGATGTTTCAGAGGCATGTTGCAAGCCTTTGTTCAAACTATTTCATCTGCTTTTCGACGTATGTTGCAAGCGCTTTTGATCTGGATGTTGTATATGTTTTCACACATATGTTGCAACAAAGATGTTCCAAAATGTTTCATCTGTTTCGATCTTTTGTTTGCGCAAGTGTTTTCATGTTGCAAGTTCAAGTGTTCTATCTGGATGTTGCATATGTATTCACACATATGTTGCAGATGTATATTTCAGATGTTTCATCTGTTTCAGACGTATGTTGCATTCAAGTGTTTCATGTTGCATATGCTTCTTGCTGTTCAGAGAGTAAGGGGGCGCCGGGGAATTGGGCATGGCGAGCCGGTGGCCGGCGGACGTGGCATGCGGTGCGCTGCGGGCCGGCAATCGGGGGCACGATGGGCGGGGGTGCGCCTGTGGGGGCGGGGCGAACAAATATATGGGGATGGCGGCGGGGTGCGCCTGTGGCGGGGCGAACGGATGCGGATGGGGCAGGTTCGTGGATGGGGGCGGGTCAGGCGTCGGACCAGGCTTGTTAGGTGTGGGGGCGGGCATCCGATAGAATTCATCCCTACATGGGCGCTAGCATTTCCCCCAAGTAAGCACACGGCCCTCGCAAACAATCTCTAGTTCTCCACCAACTCCGAATCATCCTGCTGCATGCCTTGTGGGCCCGGCCAGTTCCTTAGGGTCCAAGGCACCTGAACTTATATTCTCAGTCAGTCAAGTCAATATCACAACGGAATAGTCAATAGTACCAGCAACACTAAACCCGGAAGCATTCTAGCTCAACGCTACAAGCAAGCAAGCTCGTCGTCTCGAGATCACCAGTCACCGGATGGACCAGAGACGCGCCGGTGCCGGGCGCGCGTACGGCGGGATCGCCGTCCTCCTGACCGCGACCTGCGGCGCGGCCATCCACAGGGCGGCAGCCGCCGGCGACGTCGCCTCCGTGGCTTTCGTTGCCATCAGCTACGCTGCTCTGCTGCTGCTGCACCGCACTCTTGGCGCCTTCTAGACCGCGATCGAGGCGCCGGAAGATGCCGCCGCTGCCGAGTCTGAGAGAGAGCGGTTGAGCGCAGGGTCTGGGCGCTGAGCGCGCTGCTCACCGCGCTGTTCGCGTGGAAGGTCGCCGGGGTGGTGCCGTGGCCCACTGGCGTCCTCGTCTGGACCGCGGCGGCCACGACCTCCGCCGGCGGCTCCTTCGCCCTGGTTCCGCGTCGCCGTCCGTGAATGAATAATCAACGCTACATGCCCATGCATGTAAGGCTTCACTCCAGCGACGACGACGACTCTTTGTTGCATTGCATTGCATCTGGTGCACGCATGATTATAGTACGTTCGTTTTTTGTGTCGGGTAAATTAAGATCAAGCAGCAGGTATGTACGTACGTAGTGCCTGATTAAGCACAAACATATATATAGTATGACTGATCGTCCTTACGTTTATGTGAAATACTTATGTGACATCTTTAGTTAATTAGTTTTTTTCCACACAAAAAAGTTTGCACGTCTTTGTATTAAGATAAAGAGAAAGTTCGATACAACACGCCTTAGTGGCGTCCTAAGGGTCAGTAAAATTGTACATGACACTCGGCCTCAAATTAATTAGTTTAAGAGAGGAGGAACTGATGCTGGCCAGGACTCCACGGTGTTTCTATGTTGCAGCGTATTTGGCATGGCGATTGATGAATCAGTTTTAAGGCTCGCATATGTTTAGATGAACTGCTAGCTGTGTGTTCTGTTCTGTCTCATTTCCCGTGTCCCAGCAGCTGTTGTACTTTCGAAAATTCAAGTGCTTGACGAGTTACGTTTACCTTTGGCTGGTTATTGCGATCATGTATTCATGTATGTATATGTATGCTTCTCTAGAGTAAACCCTATTTGGGTACAAAGCTTTTGTTTAGGGTTTTAGGGATCGGAAGTACTCTAGAATCTAGGTACATTTTTTAGCGCAACAACAGAGGGGTGCAGCTAGCAGAACAAAGAACTAAAAGTTAATTAACACTCAAAAGGAAATGGCTTAGCAAAGTGCAGAAGTTCTACAGAATATACTTCTTCGGAGGTTCTGCACAATTATTGGAATTTGATTCTAGAAGTTCAGCAAAAGTGTGCCAGTTGAAACCAGCATAGAAATTCGTAGATCTAGAGCCAATTCATGACAGTAGGGGCTACAAATATGCCTGCAACCACTACACAAGTTATTTCCTATAACTATGCACGCCGATATAGCAATCCATCATCAACATATTAAAGAAACACACATCGCCTCTTATATGCCAACTCAAACCTATGCCATCCAACTCCATGAACCTGAACAAATGGCACCGATAGCAAGTAATATGATGAGCAACCACCACAACTAATAGCCCGTGATATTAGGATAAACATAGAGATCGAATTAACAAGATAGGACACGTTCACTTACACGATAATCACGACATGTGTAGTACCGTAGTAGGCCTACACAGCAGTATCCTCATGCCTAGATTGATCCACCGTGGCTAGCTTACCACAGTCACACTTAGGAATGGGTAGTTCAGAGAGACCGGTGCATCCTTGCAAGACTCGTCATAATAAAGTTCTTTGGGACAACCTCTGTTTTTCCACTTGTTCCTACGCACGAGCAATCCATCTTTGCAAACAATTAAATTGAATAGACATACTCTTCACAAATTAAATTGCAACATATATTACTGAGAATTCTAAATGAACAGTGGCATACATGAGTAGTGGAAAATCGTAGTACTAATACCTAATTGGCAAAA